CCCCTCCCAGGGCCAAGGCCCCATCAAAGAGAGCACCCTGCCCAAACCTCCGAGCCCTGCCCTCTGTTTCGGAGTGTGGTCTCTCCCGCTGTCCCTGCCTTGACCGCCCCGTCCGGCCCGCTCTGTGCCTCAGTATCCCACACTGTCACTGGAGCACACAGGCCTCCCTTGCCTGCCCTCTGGTGGTGGCATGTCTGTTTTTATTTTAAAAGAGCTGTGATTGATTCCCTAAAAATGCTGGCTAACAGATTAACAGGAAAGCCTTCTGTCACGCTCCAGGTCTGCAGCGTGCAAAGCATGGCAGGAGCAGCACCACCTGGGGCTTTGCCTAAGAGGAGCAAGGACACCTTTGCCTGGCACAGGGGCGTGAGTGCCAGGCTGCATGGAGCAGGAACGGCCAGTTGTCCACAGCAGTGAGGCTGTGAAGGGGCCCAGGAGGCTGCGCCCGTGGGTGCAGCAGCCAGAACCCAGTTGTGCAAGGAGGCCGAGTTGTGTGGGACTGGCCGCCTTCAAGGTCAAAATTGAAGTGTGTGAGGTGGGCACAGGGGAGGCACGGAAGACCTTATCCAAGATTGCAGGGACAGTGTCCCCCTGCCTATTGCCACCTGACAAACCACTTCCGGACAGTACAGCCTAAACAATCATTTTGTCTTCATTGTGACATCTCAGTTCTGTGGGTCAGGCTGTCAGCCGAGGCCCAGCAGGGAAAGCTATTCCCTGTGTCCTGTTCCTTGCGGCATGATGTACGGGGCAGATGCACTCTTGCCAATCCTTCTGCCTCAGCCTCCCCAGTGCTGGGATTACAGGCTCGCACCAGCAGGCCTGGCCAGACCCGGCTCTTCGAGTCAGGGGTTGAAGAGGGAGCGTCTGTGGTGGGTGGCTGCCCTCTGCTGGCCAAAAAAGCTAATGACATGCGCGGGGTTTGGGCTGGCCAGCAAGGGTCATGGGGCTGGGGACAGGGGAAATAGAGCAGATGCCCAGAAAATGGCGAAGGAGGCGAGGACGTGCCCGGCCCAGCAAAGCTAATGCCCAGGCTCGGCCACCCCAGCCTCTTTTGGGATGCTCTCTGTGGCCTTGGCTTTGCCAGCCTGTGTCCCTTGGTCTCCTCCTCTCAGGGCTCCTCCCAGCCCACACCTCTGACCCTGAAGATGGGCTCCTTCCCACACTCCAGCCACACCTTGTAGCCCGTCTTCTCGCTTGCTGTCCTCCCTCGCACCTCGTCTGCCGTCCCCGGACCTCTCCGGTCCCGAACCTCCTGTCCCCTCTCCGTGCCCACTGCCTCCGCCTGGCATGGCCCTTTGCGTCTCACCTGGCATGCTGTTCTCGGCTTTCGTCCTCATTCTGTCCCGGTGCTGGGCAGCCGCAGATATCCTGTCACACCTCCTGCAGCCCTCCCTCCCCTCCCCCCGCCCTCCAGCGACTCACCCACTTTGTCCCAGTCACCTGCTCTCTCACCTCCTGCCTGGGAGCCCTCATGCCACCGCCAGATAGAACCCATTCACCCGAGTCAGCTTAGGTTGGCACCACCTCCAGCAAGCCTTCCAGGATCCCTAGGCTGGGAAGGAGCCTCCTCTAAGCCCTCTCCGCACGGGACACTAGTGCCACCACCTCGGCATGGAGGCAAGAGCACTGCGGGCAGGGACATCGGGGCTTTCGGTCCAGACACGGTGGCCCTCAGCATATCCTGACTGGAGCTTACTGCGCTGCTTCTGCTGTAGGCTTTATAAGGAGGCCTTGGGGACCCTGAGCACACCTCTCCCAGCTTCAGTTTCCCCATCCATACAAGGAGGGCACCAGCATCCTTCTGATCCCTGTGGTTGGTAGTGGCTGTGGGTACAGCTGAAAGTCCACTTGGGTGAGGGGCCTCAGAGCCGCTGCAAGGGCCTCTTATCCCGGAAGAAAGGAGCCAGGCAGCACTCTCTGCTGCATCTGCCATAGCCCCGCCCTTCTCCTTCGTGGGAACAGCCTCACCCTGTAACATGGGCGCCATCACCTAGTCACCTCTGTGCCCCTTGCCCAGGGCTCTCCTAAGAATGGTTACAGAACTCAAACAGGTACAGGGAAGAGAGGTAGCGCCAGGTACCCAGAACCAGGGCCCAGCCAGCCCTCATGCTCCCCCACCCACAGCAGCCCTAGAGCTGTGACTTCACACTCTTGGATGAGGACACTGAGGCTCAGGGGACAGCTGCCACCTCCCAAGCCAGAGAGGGGGCGTGGCTGTGGCCAAGGACGCCAGTGCTCTGTGACAGCTTGGGAGCCCCAGCGTACCTCATCTGGGCAGGCTCTGAGGCTTGAGGTCCAGCAGCGGTGGTGTGAGTGGGTGACGGCCGTGGCGGTGCTCAGGGTCAGGTAGAGTGGCACTGCAGTCGGTGCCCGCGGAGGACGCGGCAGCCCCCGAGAGAAGGGCACAGCTGGGGGGAGCGGGACCACAGGGGGAATCTGGGGCGCTGTGTCCACAAGCTATCAAGGCTGTGACGCACAGCGTGGCCCTGAGAAAGCCTGGCCCCAGCTGCGGGGAGAGGTCAGGGCTGCGGCCCGCAGGCTGTGGTCTCCCAAGGTCCCCACTCCACCAGGCAGGTGGGGCCAACTGAGAAGGAAGGACAGACCGCTGGTTCCCAGGGACATGGGGTGCTGGCCAGGACAGAGACTGAGAAGAGCAGGCCAGGGCCAAGGTGGGACAGTGGCAGTAGGCAGGGCTGTCAGGGCGTGGAGACCCAGGCAGAGACACCTACCTCACCAGGAGCCCAGATGCCCCTGGGTCACTTTCATCCTGGCTCTGGGTCTCAACTGTCATCCCAGTCAAGGGAGAGTGCTGTGCTAATGATAGAGCACCACCCCAGGCTTCAGGAGGTAGAGGACAGCAGGCTTTGGGAACAGCAGGGTCTTAGAGACCCTGAATGAGTGAGGCCCATGGGCTGCACAGCCGGCAACCCCTTCCCAGGACGCCTCAGGTTGTGCAGGTCCACACCGGCTGTGGGCGAATCCTCTGCATTTCTCTGCACCCTCTTCATTTCCCAATAGAGTGTGTCTGCCCCAGTGTCCTGACAATTAATTCCAGGCCATTCTTTGTGACTGTTGAGCAGACGCCAAGCGTGCCCTAAGACTCTAGCTGCCGTACAGTGAGCGCCCTTGAGCACGATTTCCTGACCGTGCGTGTGTGTGCATGTGTAGAAGAGAACCCTAGAAAGCATGAAACCCTCTAGGCTACTGCTGCCTCTGTCCTAAGTAGACACCCTAAGAGGCTGAACTAGGCTGAAAAGGAAAGGAAGGGGCAAATTTCCTTTGCCACAATATCACGGGGTTCTCCAGGGGCCTCCAAACCCCATCAATCAAGATCCAGGGCACAGCAGAGCAGGGAGCAAGGAGCTCAGGGCAGAGAGGAGAGAAAATGCGAAGGGAAGAGACCAGCGCCTCCGAATTAGCCCTGCCCAGGCAGGGGCTTCCCCACCCCCACTTCTAAGCCTTGTGGCTGCCCCAGGCATCCCACTGTCAGGACTGTGGGACACCCCAAGGCCTGAGCCCACACAGCCTATCCCAGCTAGTCTTTTGTGTGGTCCCTGAGCTGAGTATCCCAGCCAATATGCTGTCTGAGAATGCCAGATGGGAAGATCGGGAGAAGCCAAGACCTGGACCTTGGCCGGGGCAGGAGCTGGTAAGGCAGACCCGACACTGGCACCACCAGCTAGAAGGAATCCAACCCAAGGGCTAAACAGTAACAGGTGACAAGTGGTGGCTGATGAACCCCTGCTGTCTCAGGCTTCTCCCCCAGTGGCCTGCCATGCAGCAGGTGGGAGGCAGTGGCTGGGTATCCAGGCCACCTCCCCAGGTGGCATGAGGCCCAAGTGGAGGTTGGGGGCAGAGCTCTGCTCCCTAGGGGCTTGAGAGTCCCCACCCCACTTCATCAGCCTCGGAAAGTCTATAGGCCACCAAGCTCCCCAAGCAAGCCTGTCCTACTCACACCATTCCCCGCCCAGTCCCACCACTTCATCTACCTGGACATTTCTGGCTTCTCGTAGCCTGCTTTGGTCACTTCTTGGCACATTGTGAGGTCTGTGTGTGTGTGGGCATCAGGGAAGGATTGCACAACAGGTAAGAACACTTGAGCACCAACAGGCCTGGGTTTCAGGCCCCAACTCTGCCACCCACTGGTTTGGTCACTGAGCAGGTTCCTCACCTCTCTGAGCCTTTCTCTGAGGTTTCCTCATCTGTCAAAATGGGGTGCTTGGAGCACCTGTCCTCATAGGCTCATTGTGAGGACTGAATGAAGGGAGGTACCTAAAACACTGAGAAGCAGGGCTGGGGATTTAGCTCAGCGGCACAGCGCCTGCCTGGCAAGCGCAAGATCGTGAGTTCGATTCTCAGTACCAGAGAAAAACCAAAAAAAAAACACTGAGAAGGAGGCCCAGACCATTGTAAATGCTCAGGCAACGCTGGTATTGCTGTTGCTAACCTAATGACTGACTGCTTCCTGGCCCCCACCTGCAAGCCACATCTGACCTTTACCCCGAGTCTCCTTGGCTCCTTTGTGTCCTTCCTGACTGCTGGCCTGGTGCCAGGGTCAGCTCCTAAGGGCAGTGAATGGGATTTCTAAGAGTCTGTTCTCTGGGCTCAGTGATTACGGGAAGAGAGGGGTTGGAAGAGAGGAAAGGAAGAGGGAGATGGCAGAGAACGGTTATGACTTAGCAAGATTTGGTGGCCCTGATTCTTTCAGTTCACTTACCCAGACCCTTTGCCCTGGGGTCTGTACCCTCATTTTCCCCGCAAGCCAACCATCACTGGAATCCTCGTGGATGCCAAGAGAGCAATTTGTGCAGCTACCCTAATGCAGCTGAGAGGATGGGGACCACGTTGTCCCTCCAGGGAATTGCTGGGGAAGCCGCTTGGAACTCATGTTGCTGCTTAGCCTGGAGAGTGACCTGCTACCTCCCAAACATGGGTGCTGATGTAGGATGGTGGCTCCCAAGGGGCCGGGGGCTCAGCACCGGCTCTGGGTCCCCCAGGAAATGAACAACTACCGGCGGGCCATGCAGAGGATGGCAGAGGACATCCTGTCGCTACGGAAACAGGCCAGCCTCTTGGAGGCGGAGAACCAGTTGCTAAGGCACCGCCTGGTCCAGCAGGAGGTGGAAGAGATCAGGGCTGATGAGCCCCAGGACCTGGGTGAGAAAGCATAGGCCCTTGCTGGCATCTAGACACCTCCCGGGGCCCTGGGTTTGTGTTGGAGACAGGTGGTGGGTGGGGAGCTTCCCCAGATGTGCATGCAGCTGGATTTGGGTTGGTAGGAGTCCCCAAACACCCCACCCACAGACATTCGCATGGTCCCCGCCCAGCTGTATCCTCTCAGATGGGGAAAGGAGTGTCCAGCCCTGTCTCCAGCCCAGGGCTGGGGGGCACCTGCTCCCCTGATGAGGGGAGCTGGAGAGCCCCCATGAGCTGCCTCCCCGCCCACCCCAGCAATGTCCGTGAGGCACAAGCTGCTGTTGAACAACCTGGACACAAAGAAACTGAGGGACAAAGTGCAGCACCTGCAGAACGAGCTGATCCGGGTGAGCAGGCACTGTGAGGAAGGGGTGGGCAGGAGCCGATTCCAGGGGCTGGGGTGGACCCTGGTACCCAGGCACCCATTCCACTCTGCTCCGCTCCTTGCAGAAGAATGACCAAGAAAAGGAGCTGCTGGTGCAGTATCAGTCGCAGCAGCCGAAGGCCGCCCTGCTGAGGCGGTACCAGGACAAGCTGCAGAAGATGAAGGCGCTGGAGGACACCGTGCGGCACCAGGAGAAGGCAGGTGCCTGGCTCTTCTAGGGTGGGGGCTGCACACAGGAGGGTGCGGTGGCCCCCAGCCTAGCCCAGCCTCGTGCTCCGCCCTGAAGGTGATAGAGAAGATGGAGCGGGTGCTGGAGGACCGGCTGCTGCGGGAGAGGAAGGAACACGCGCCCTCCAGCAGGCCGCCGGGACAGCCACATGCAGGTGAGTCCACCTCCACTCTAGACAGGAGGGGGTCCATGCCCCAGTTCTCGCCCAACTCTAGAGGGAGGCCCAGTCCTCTGGAGCCCCAGATGCAGGAGAAACCTACTCAGTCACGTCTGTAGGTCGGGACGCACAGGTCGATGCTGCTCCCTCACCCCAGGGCCCTAAGCTCCCTCCTCCCAGGATGATCCTAGGGAGACACAGGTGTGAGCCAGGCTGGAAAGAGGCCAACCGTCCAGGGAGAGGCCTGCAGGCTGGGAACACAGCAGGGACACAGGCGCCAGCAGAGAGGGGCTTTCCCAGCAGACACCACCTTGGGTAGCAGTCCTGACTCCTTAACCAAATCCTTTGAATTATTCCGCTGTTTCCCCATATCTTCAAAGATTTTATTTGCAAAGCAAACCGACCAATGTGGTTCCCTTTTGGGTGAACCACAGCCACCTAGAACTGCCAGCCAGAGGCAGTTTGGATAGGCAGGAAAGAACGGGAAAGAATCCCATAGCAAGGGACAACGTCTATGTGCCTGGCTCTTGTTCTAGACTCAGAATCGAACCAAGGTACCAACCGACAAACACCAAAACGCACGGATCACCAATTGAGATTTCAGAATGAGCCTCTATTAGCTGGCCAGCGACTGACTGAGAGCCTCCACGCAGGGTAGGATCAGATCAGCAGCAAACCAGGGGTGAGAGCAGCCTTTAAGCCAAAAAACCACATCCTGCTTGGCAAGCGAAGTCTGTGAAGCAGTCTTCCAAGAAACTATAGAAACTTTAGGAAACTTACAAGAAAAAAATGATACATTTCAGGGAGTTTCAGGGAGTGGCTAGAATGCTGAACGAGGCAGGTGGAAAGGACAAGAGGGGGAGTAATCAGTAATTTTTCATGTCCCTTGTGAGGCCATGCATGTCCCTTGTGAGACCTTTATATTCCCCACTGATTTTAGGAAGGAATCAAATCCTTGATTCCCTTGTGTCATGTGACTGGGTCAGGCTCCGGTCATGAGTCTAAGCATGTTAACAGAATCAGTCCATTGTAGAATCCATGACAGGTTATGGCACCATGTTTCAGGATGGCATCTACAATGGTGGTTGATGACCTGTCAATATACAAACATACCCTTGTCCCATGTTATTAATTGAACTGGAACACCTTGTTATTATTATTATTATTATTATTTATTATTTATCTAATAGCTTGTAGTTATATTTTTCTGTTGGTTGCTCAAGACCAAGTTAAAATGAGACCTGTATTAATTAAAACTAATTTTTCTTTTTATTAAGATCAGTTAACTCTCCTCAGGATTTACCTTGGAACCATGTGCAGTGCCTCTTAGTACTTCTGTCAGTGCCAGCCATCTGGATGAGTCACAGCCATTGCTTGAAGAAGTTGCTTTCTTTGAAAGCTTGGGAGACTGTTTTCTCCTGGTGACTCTCCTTAGGCACATTATAATCATTTTTCTCTGTGGTCCCATAACCTCCTTGAGCAGAAAATCAGGGACTCAGCCAAGTTGCGTGATGTGGCAGCAGAGGTTCTCTTATGTCCTGAGTCCTATTTGACCTTGGAGGGCTTTGGCCAAAATATTGGTGTCTTCTTAGCCCAATTTATCTCTCTAATTTTTGGTCTCCAAACCTCAGTTGTTAAACATCCAGCAGAAAATGTTAATGACATTACATTGCAAGTACCTTGAAATATAAAGTATAACCAGAGAACTATTATTTTTTCTACCAATTATGGATGTTCTAGTAGTTGAATCTCTGTGGAATGTTAACAGACAACAATCATGTAGTTATATCTAAGCATCTCTAAATGTAGTGGCATATACATAGTATATATACCACATAACGTTTTGTTGACCCATGAACCTCTTATTATAAATATCTGGAGCACAAGAGAAAAGGCAGATGTCTAACATTATGTAAACAGTTCCAGTTTTATATTTTAGAATACTGTACATTTTGAAGGCACAAATATATTTAATACACCATGAAATTAGCAATAACAAGATGTCACTATCTTTTTAACCTTCTGACAATGATCACTATAAACGTATCACAATAATATATTTTGAACAATATATATCGTTGTGTCTCCCATAAAGCTATGGAGATTATCAGGGCTCCTTATTAATGAACAAAAACTGGTTGTTATTCCAGGCAGCTGCTTTTTTATTTATCAATTGGAGTCCTATCTAACAATCTCTCTCCACCCAAGGGATTTTTATTCAATTATCTTAACCCATTTTTTATGTTTTATGAACATCCAATCAGAATTTGACATGTCAGTTTTTATACAATGAGAGACTCTCAAATCATAATACATAAAACAATATTTATATATTTATAAAACCAATTTTGACATAATTTTGACCAGCCGGCAACGTGGTAGAAGCAAATCTTTAATTTAGATAATATTTACATATAAGCCAAATTAGATTACAGACAATTACCTCAAAAATCAAAAAAATACAAAAAGAGAAATTTGTTGAGCTCAAGTAAAACAGCTCTTTACAGATCTGACAGAGAGACAAACAAACAAAACACATATACAAGACAATTTACTTATAAACTTAGAGTGCACTCAAATATAGTTTTGGCCATACCGAATTATAAGTTTGTAATTATAAGTAGTCAGAACTTTATTTTTTCCTTTTTTGGTTAGGTCACTTAGCAGAGATCTATTATAAAAAGAATTTGGAAAAAATAAAACTCTTTTACCTGTAATTAATATATGTTTATATTTTATTCTGTCTTCAGAATACCAGCAACTTTTATGTCCCTTAAAGTAGTTTTCAGCTTAGTCACGTGCACACACACACTGTCACGTACTCAGACCTTCTTTTAAGTGCTCTTGCTTAAACTTTTATTTTTTATCTTCCCTATCATGAAACGAATTTTTGCAATCTCTGTCAGCTGGGACAAGTTTATCTCTGCAATACCTTTTACTTTTTGCAGCTTGTGACACTGTTGCCACCTTGTAGGTCAGTGAGATGACCAGCTACAGAAAGAAGCCCCTTTTTGAAGCCTGATGATTTTTCCTGTATTTAATCTCATTTGTTTCTCAATCAACTTTAAGAAATCCTTCTTTTTTGGAGAAATCAAAGTTAACATCCGTTGACAATCACCCCAGGTGGGGAGGTGAATCTCAAACACTGCTTTTAGCAAACTGATAGAAGCTGAGTTTACTCTAAAAGGAGGGGATTTGAAGTTCTTCAGTTGCAGAATGAGGGTTTCCTCCCAGCTTCATCACAGCAGCCTGCCAGAGAGGCAAGACTGGGATGAAACCTGAGGAGGAGACTCCTTCATCTGAGTCTGCTACAGGCTGGGGGAAAGGCTGCCTGTAGGAGCATAACAGTCCCCGTAGCAGAAATAGTTTGACATAATAGCAGTGACCCCGCGAGGGTCAGGATCTTTTTAAGCTTGCAAGTAAACAACTCCCAGGGGTAGAAAAGGCCAGAGGAGGGTGATCAGGGCCCCTCCCACCCAAGCAGCAGATTCAATTGTAACCTGAGGAAGCGGACACACCAAGTAACACAAGCGCATAGAACAAACAATTCAAACAGACAAACAGACAGGACAAAATCCCTGGAAAGATAATTTAGTTTTCCTCCAACTCGTTCTGCCAATTCAAATTGGAGACTGGCTTGAAACGCAACAAACGAAAAGCCAAATTCTTTCTCAGCATTCGCCAGAAAGACTAACTCGCCCCTCTCTCAGCTCCCCCTGGGAGGGTGAAGGATGCACTGCGCCTGCAGCGCCCGCTTCATGCCCCTCTCCCGGCTCCCAGAGAGGGCAGAAACCGAAACTGCCACCCAGGTCTGGGGGCCTAACAAACTGGAGAGCTAGCAACTGAGCTCTCTCCCAAGCCAGCCCAGCCTCGGGAAAGATTGGAAGCCAATTAAGATCTTACCCAGTTGGAGGTTTAGAACTCTGTCTGTCCTTCCTGGCCCAGGCCTCCCAGGCCTCCAGGTCTTAGCCTCCCCCAGATGGTGAGAGCTGAACTCAGCTGGGGCGCCCAGCCATTCAGGAAAGGGCTAGGGGGTCCGGAGGCCGGGCCCCCTCAAAAGAGGATCTGCCTGCAGAATATCCCGGGAAGTCCCCAAATGTCGGAAAAGTGGTTTAGCACACATTAAAGCGACCTAAGTGACACGGAAGCAGACTGACCCATTGGGACAAACAGAACAAAAACAGACAACAACAAGACAAACAGAAACCAAAACCAAAAGTCTCTCCGGCACTTAAAGGCACGTCTGCCGTCTGTCCGGGAGATCCAAATGGGGCACCCCACAAACAAATAAACAAACTGTTACCGGTAAGACAAACGGATCCGAGTCTAATAGAAATAATTTAGTCTTTACCCTAGGCAGGGAAGCCTGTTGGGGTTGAGGCACGTCTTCTCGGGAGGCCCCTGACAGGTGGCTGCCAGGGGTAAAGTGATCCGGCTTGGTAGTGCCCCCTGTAGGGGATCTCAGTGGAACTCCAAATGTTCTGGACTCAGAACCGAACCAAGGTACCAACTGACAAACACCAAAACACACGGATCGCCAATTGAGATTTAAGAATGAGCCTTTATTAGCTGGCCAGCAACTGACTGAGAGCCTCCACGCAGGGTAGGATTAGATCAGCAGCAAACCATGGGTGAGAGCAGCTTTTAAGCCAAAAAGCCACATCCCGCTTGGCAAGCGAAGTCTTTGTGAAGCAGTCTTCCGAGAAACTATAGAAACTTTAGGAAACTTACAAGAAAGGAACGATACATTTCGGGGAGTTTCAGGGAGTGTCTAGAATGCTGAACGATGCAGATGGAAAGGACAAGAGGGGGAGTAATCAGTAATTTTTCATGTTCTTTGTGAGGCCGTGCATGTCCCTTGTGAGGCCTTTACAGCTCTGTGCTCAGCCCCCTCTGCTGGGGGGACTGGGGGGTCTGAAAGCCATTAGTAAATAATGAAAGCCTGACTTGTCTTTCAGAGACCCTTAGGAAAGAACCAGGCGTGGTGGCACACACCTGTAACCCCAGTACTCGGGAGGCTGAGACAGGAGGATCTTTGCGAGTTCGAGACCAGCCTAGGCTACAAAGTGAGCTCAAGGCCAGCCTGAACTGCATAGCGAGACCCTGTCTCAAAAAGACAAAGAAAGAAAGAAAAAAAAAAACCACAGAGACCCTTAGGTCCCCAGGAACCTGGGTCAAAGTGTCTAGGGAGGGCCACAACTAGGCAAAGGCCCAGGGAGGAAAAAGAATGCCAGGAGCAGAGAGAGGGAGGCAAGAGAGAAGGGATGACCTGAAATATACAGAGGACAAATGGTTGGGGAGAAGGAAAGGTAAAATGTTTCAGTCCAATTCTAAATAGGCTAGGAGGACAGCCATAGGATTGTGGGCCTGGTTCCACTGGCAGTAGGGAGCCATCGATGGCTTGGGAGCAGAGGAGGAGCAGTAAGGAGCAAAAGGCTGGGGTCAACCAGGACAGGGACATGGAGGCAGCAAAGCCCATCTCACAAACATCTGTGGCTATGTTCACAGCTTTCTCCATGCCCTCAGCCTCTGGCCTCCAACTGGGTTCCACTGGAGAGAACCTGCCTGTCGACCTTTACTCAGTGTTGCTGGCAGAAAACTCAAGGCTACGGGCTGAGCTGGAAAAGAACCACCACCAATCAGCCCCTATCATCCTGCAGCAGCAGGCCCTGCCGGTAAGAGCCGCCAGCATGGCTTGACCTGGACCCATCTGCAGCGGTCACCAGGTGCCCAAAATCACCCACAGCACAATCCAAGTTGAAGATCCAGGTCTGGAGCTGGACTTCCCAGGCTCACCGATATGCCTGGAGCTCCTGGGAATGCATGCATTTGAACTTCACTTTGATTCTCGCCTATCATCCTAGGAGAAAGCAAGCCCCTGGTTGACCCTTGACCCCTGACCCTTGACCCCTGGTTCCCAGCTGGACCCACACAAGCCTCTTGGAGCTCCATTCCAGAGCATTTCCTGGGATTGGTGCAGGCCTGGAGAGCCCTTTTCCCCATCCCAGGTGGACCCCAGGGAGTTGGGAGCAGGTGGAGACTTGGCAGAGAGGATGCGAAAGGCAGATGGCCCAGGCCACTACAAGTACACAGAGACCCTGCCTGCACAGGTGGGTGTCCCAGGCTCCTCCTCTACCCAGGCTGCTCCAGGTGCTGGACACATCCAATGACAGGCTGCTTGGAATCAGAGCAGGTGGGGTGGGGCGCATAGGACAGGACTTGTGGGAGGTGGGCTCCCTTTGGAAGCCCCAATGATGGACATCCAGGGAAAACATGGAGATGGAGCCCTGGCTTTCCGGACTTCACTCTGCACAAAGACTCCCTGCTTGACTCTCTCTTAGGCATTATGGGGAGCTCTTTGATGTCTTTTACATTAAAACAGTGTGGTTCCCCCAAATCTGCAGAGGAAACAGCTGTGAAGAAAACTTAGAACTTCAAAGGAGGGTGCTGCTTCCAGGAGCTGATTGCACTCAGACCTGGCTGGTCTCTCCTCCAGGACCTTGCAGCTTCCCAAATTCCTGGGGTCACTGCCCCAGCTGGGACCAAATACAAGCTTCTGTTCTGCCCACAGGATCTCCTTGCCAGTACTACAGACAAATTTAACCTCATGGCCAAGCTGGAGCAGGCTCAGAGCCGGATCTTGTCCCTGGAAAGCCAGGTGGGTAAGGTGGAGGGGTGGGTCAAGCTGGGCCCAGGCCCACTGTCACTGTCTGTGACAAAGTCAGGGTTCAGTGTTGACCAGTTTAGACTCAGTCTGTGACCAGACTGTTGTCAGGGTACAGAGAAGATCCTCCCTTTCTCTCTGGCTGTTTAATCTCCCTCTCTGTCACCCTTGCCCCTAAACCCCCCAGGTCTCTTAGGAAGGTGTCAGGCCCAAGCTGCCAGGAGCTTTGCTCTCTGCCACGCAGGCAGGCCCAGATCCTGATGGGCCCCAGGGCCCACGGGTCTTCCCACTGCTCCTGTCCATGTCTGCAGTTAGAGGACTCAGCCCGACGATGGGGCCGAGAGAAGCAGAACTTGGCCACGCGGCTGCAGGAGCAAGAACATGGCTTCGGGCGCCCCCCAAACCTCCTCGTCACAGACCAGCCTGTGAGTGACCCCATTCCTGGGGTCCAGGTGGTAGGACCGGGGCCCCCTCCCTAAGCCACTGGGCTTGAGAAGAACTTGGAGGGCCAATCCATGGGCTGAGAGCAGAAGTCCTGAGCTCAGCTGCTGCTCTGCTACCAACTAAAGCTGTCACTTGGTCTCAGTTACCCCACCCATCTGGGAGAACAGGGACCCCTTCCCCCATATGTTGTGAAAGTCCAGGAAGAGATAGACTGGGTGAGGGGTGGCGCACACAGGCACTTCTAGAATGTTCTGTCTGTCACTGCCTGTAATCTAGGATTGGCTGTGTTCATGGACAGAGTAGCAGTAGCCTCCGCTTACCAAACTCACTGTGCTCAAGAGTCTCCCCTTACCACCTGCCCTTTTGCCCCCACACAGCTGAGGCGGGTGTCATCTTGGCAGCTTTCCAGGACCAGACAGGCCTGTGCACACCACCCCTCACCCCAACCCAAAGGCCCTGACTTCTGCTCTTGGCCCTCAGTATTTTGCTCATGGCTGAGGCTCCAAACACCTAGAAAGGGCCTTACAAGGACACGGGGACTGATAGGGACACAGAAACCACCTGCAAGCCCTCGGGGCCCAAGGACTCACGGAGAAATTAGGTGTCATCTGCTGTGATCAGATGGCTTGAGGAATCTTCCAGAAATTATGGGCGGTGGATCCCAGAGGTGTGTCTGGCTGGGCAAGATGCCCTTGAAGAGGTCACCCCTGGGAATGGGAGTACGCTCACATGCCCACCTTGTCTCCCACAGAATGTCTCGACCCATGCCAACAACCTCAAGCAGCCCTCAAAGCAGGAAGTCTCGCTGCCCAAGTCAGACCCCAAGGCCAGCTGGCCTTCAGACACCCAGGTGGAGACCTCCAGCTTCCAGCAGACCTGAGCCCTGCGCAGGCCTCCTCCTTCCCTGTGCACTGGGCAGAATCACCCCACCCCTAAAGAAGACTTTATTAAATGCTTAAGCTCAACAAACGTTCTCTTTCCTGTAGCAGAACGGCCCTGGCCCTGCTGCCTCCTCCCAGACCCCACTCTGATCCCCAGCACTTGGCCACAGCCTTACCACCTCCTGCCTTTCCCAGGAGCTAAGCCAAGGCTATAATGGACCAGAAGGTTGATGAGAAGAAGAACCAGGGAGACAAGCCCCTTCCCGGCCTCCAGGAGGAATAAGGCCATCCTTTTAGGAGATGGGAGGGAGTCCAGGACTACCCACCTGCCCCCAGCATCCGTCACACCTGAAATCCTTTCTCCTGAGTGTTTCATCTGTCTCTTGTAAAGGGAGAGGAGATCATCATGTGAAATACCCGCTTCACCAGGGCTGTGTCCAAATGTGGCCACGGACAGGAAAGCAGACAGGGCCAGGAGGCAGGGCCCTCACTGACAGTCAGCAGGCTGAGGTTCTGGCTGCAAGCATGCAGTGTGACCTCAGATAACTCCGAGTCTCTCTGAACCAGTTTCTTCATGTATCCCACACAGAGCTGGGTGTCTTTCTCTTTCCAGCACTGACATTTCTGAGCCAGAGATGACTCAGACCCAAAGAAGAGAAAGAAAGCAGGAAGGAGAGAAAAAGACAAAAGGGAGGGAGGAGCGCCTGGTGGGGAAAAGTAGAAGGCTGTGAGAGATGACCCAGACCTTGCAGAATCTTTGTAGAAGAGGCCAAGCTGATTGGGCTACTATCCCCTGCCCACCTATAGCACTTAGACCTGGGGGACCAGGGGCCAACAAGGGGCTGGCATCTGCTCTGAGCCAGAGTTGAGAAATTCAGGGACTTAAGGGCCCTGGACAGAGACAGGGTCATACAGTCCAAATAATGTGCGGGAAACTGCTCAGGTCCCCTGTCTACTGCCTAGAGCTTGAACAAGGGACTTGGCTCCCTGGAGCCAGGCAGGAGGCATGGGCAAACCCTGAGCAGGGTCAGGAGGTGGAGTAAGTATGCTGGCCCCTGTCCTGGGGCCAAGTGCCTCATACCAGCCCCTTCTGACCTCACAGGGGACCCCCACCTGAGTTCAGCAAAGTCACGCACTGTTGAGTGTCCCATCCAAGAGGGTAGGACTGGCCCAAGCCACCCTATCCTCAAAGGGAACCTCCCCACCTCCTCAGACCTCCCCACCTCTCCACAGGACTGTCATTGATGCCTGTCCTGCACGGTGACACTAGCCCTCTCCTCTCAGCCTGCCCCTGGCCCCAGCAGCCTGAGCTGCTGTGGGTGGGCGGTCACATCAGGTCCCGCCTGCATGCCCCAGTCTGCAAGAGGGTGTGACAAGCACCATAGGGTCCATTGGAAACAAAGACACTCCCATAGTTCAGGCATTTATTGTCTTCCCAGAGCAGAAGATGGGGAAGAGTGGGCTGGAGGGGAGGGGAGGGGAGGGCTCCACTGAGCTGGGGCAGGTGACCAGTGAGCCAAACCACCTGCCCTGAGGGACTGGGGACATGGGACTGCAGATGTGAGGCCCGGTGATGCCCACTCAGCCATTTGCCCACACAACCGCTGCCTGGTGGTAGGGGTCAGGGCCACCCTCTGTGATCATGCCTGGGCAGTGTCCTTTTTGAAGGGCAGGAAGATGAAGTAGATGGGCTGCTCGGGCGTGAGGATGAGGTTGAACTTGGTACCCACATCTGTGAACTGTTGCAATTGAATCTTAAAGTTCTCCAGCACCTGAGGATGGATGAGGTGGGTTTAGGGAAGGGGTGGAGGACCATCTCCCCAGGCTGGGCTCATGCACTACTCATCCGCATCCTTGGGGAGCCCAAGGGCTGCAGGCCCAGCTCCTCATTTAAATACACCTGTACCCTGGGTTTAGGCCTTGACCTTAATAAGGCCATAACACCCCTCCCCTACCCCACTCCCTTTCATGATGGCCTGGAGACACCAGTGGGTGACACATGGGTCAGCCCAGGAGAGGAATAGCTGGGAACTAGGGAGAAAATATGCTGCAGCCCTGCACCCTCTTGCAGGTTGGTGATTTCACAATGACCAGGGGATCTCCTATGGCCAAATGTCCCCAAGTCCCACTCACATAGATGAGAAAAATGGTCATTTCCAGCTCTGCAATCCGCCGGCCCAGACACTGTCGCACACCCCAGCCAAAGCCCAGGTACCGGAAGTGGGTGGTGTTCTTGTCCTTGTCCAGCCACCGCGTTGGGTTGAAAGTGATGGGGTTGGAGAAGTAGCTGGGTTCCCGGCCCATGGCATAGTTGGCCACCTGCACCAGTGTCTGAGGACAAGGTGGCCAGAGGCCTGAGCAAGACACCCAGCTTCCCCAGGCCCCTGTGCTCCCACTCCTAGCCCTGCTCCCAGGTACCCAGGTACCCAGGTCAGGACATTGACATTCTGCTCACTATGTGACCTTGAATCAACTCCTGCCCGCCCCCCGAGCCTCTCTCCCAGGAAATGAAGTGGTTGAAAAAACCAGGCTGGGATATCAAGGGGTCTTCCTGCCCCTCATGTGTCCCATCAGGGTCCGGGCAGATGGTGAGATCTACTTCCAAACTCTGAGCATCAGCAACTTGGCAACAACATTACCCACCGTCCGCACCACCCCTGCTCTTCTTCCTTCAAACTCAGACTGCTGCCACTAAGAGCTGTCCCCCCAGGACCCACAAGGAAGCAAGACAGAGCCTGTAGCCACCATCTGTCACAACTGCAGCCTTTTTCATCTGCCCCCTGCTGCCTCTGTCTGACTGGCAGAACCTGCAGCTCTCATCAGCCCCTACCTTGGCTGGAATCAAATAATCACGGAGAACCAAGTCACTCGAAAGATATCTCTGCAAGGTCACGGATATAGGGTGCAGCCTAGGGGAAGAAGACACTCAGAAATGGATAGCCCCAAGGCTAGGACACGAGCCAGATTCTCCACCCTGTCCTGCCCCAGCAAGGCCCCAGCATGGCCCCAGCACAGCCCTGGGGATCTGAAGACTACCAGACTCTGTTTCTTCCTTGCCTTCCCGGTCGTTGCTTCAGACTCCCAGCCGTCCTAGTCTGACATCTGACAGCCCTTCCTTGGACCCCTCCCTCGGCCCCAGCCAGGGTGGGGAACAGGCAGGGAGGCACCGTGGGGTGCGGTGGGTGGGGGCTCACCTCAGCGTCTCCTTAATGCTGGCCTTGAGCAGTGGCACCAGCTGCAGCATCTTGGTCATGTCCCCCTGGGCCTGGCGCCGGGCCGCCTGCACCTCAGCCCGAAGCATGTCCTGTACCTTGAGGTTGCGCGCCATCTCGTACAGGTGCCACTGCAGGGTCATGGATGTCTGGCAGGGAGGGAGGGAGGGGCACAGAGACCAGCCAGGCCTGTCACTTGGGCACTTTGAGGTCCCTGGCCGATGCAGAATTCTCCCTTCCAAGAACCTCTCCCCCACCCCCACCGAACTTTGCCTCCCTCTCCAAGACATCATGTGCAGAAGCAAAGCAGAATGTGAAAAGCAAACATCCAAGAAGGCGATCTCACTGTCCCTGTCTCCAGCCCCCATCCATCTCCCGGCTACAGAGCATCAGCGCCTGGCAGTGCCCTCTTCTTTCAAAGGACTCCTGGTGCCTTCAGAAGCCAATCCTGCCTCCAGGAGGGTCATCTCTCCCACAGCTGCCCTTTCTCCTGAACTCTTTCCAACAGCCACCCACTTCCAGCCAGAACCCCCAACCCCAGCAGAGTTTAGAGAGGGGCTCACAGGTCCCAAAGCCAGACGGCAGATGGAACTTCTGTCTGGATTGCAAATAGTGTGTGGGAATTCCAGAGACAGACCAGCCAATGTCAACATAACCCCAGGGCTTGTGACCAGTGGCCCTCAAATACCACACTCCCAGATTCCTCCAAGGTGACAGAGAGGTCTCACCTGGGGCCCCAGCTGGGAGCACCCTCCCTCTGGGGCTGGGACACAGATGGTCAGCACTTTATCTTTCCCAGGAAGCTTGGATACCTTTCCATCCTCCCAAGAGAGGCAATGATGAAAAACAGCCACACAACTTCCGTTCTCAGCTGTGAATTCTTGCCTGCTCCCCAGCACCTCTAGATTTCCAACGGAGGTCTGAAGCCCTCCCCAGAACTGCCTGCAGCACTGTGAGTGGTCCCCGCATAGCACACGCCTGGTCTCTGGTTCCACAGGGCTGCACACAGCTCCCAAGACCCAGAAATCTTCCCCACACTAGCTTCCCTGCCTGGAATTCCCTCCCCACACAGGAATCCAGGCAAGCTTCTTCAAGACACCACTGCAAGCGTGTGTTTAGTTCAGTACCTACCTCCCAGGTCTCCCGCTGGGTAGGCGCTAGGAAGGGACCCATTTAATAAAGTAGTTAACTAAGTTACTAGCTGTGTGACTTTGGCCAAGTTATTTAACCTGTCTGTGGCTCCATTTCCTCATCTAAGAAGAAAGAGGATGACAGTGACATATTTCACCGTGTTCTCGGCAAGCAGTAAATGAGGCTGTGTGCATGAAAAGCAAGTTCAAGGCCAGCCTAGGCCACATAGTGAATTCAAGGCCAGCCTGAACTACACAGCAAGAGCCTGTCTGAAAAAAAATAAAAGACTCCATGGGGAACCTGGGTCTCACTGCTGAGCACAAAAGCCCTCAGGTTTGCTTGTTTTTGAATCTCTTTTTCTTTCTGGAGTCTTTATGTCCCATAAAACACATATAGACAGTCTTGACTTAGGACGTTTTGACTTAAGGATTTTTCGGCTGTACATTAGTGAGTAAGCAATACACATTCAGGAGAGATATAACTTTTGAATGTTGCATTTTTACCTTTCCTGTGCTGGGTCAAAGTCACCTCTCTTGCCATGCTGAGCAGCATGGTGACCAGGAGGGCACAGTGCCAGCCCCACATAGTATAAATGGTCTAGAATCAGAGTTCTGGTGACATGGGCCATGGCCCCACGTGGGTACCCAGGGAAAGTGTACCCCAGTCACTTCCTTCACACAGGCACTGAAAAATCTGGCGACCAGCCTCCAACATTGCCCAGTGGGCACCCTCTGACCTCACCTTCCTGAGTTGGTGTCCAGGGAGAGGATGCAGAACCCACCTGGGCACAACCCCCTTAAACATCGGGGCGTCAGACAGCACATGTGGTCACAGAGAGGCCCACGATGTGCCCACCGCCACTCACCGTGTCCACACCTCCTGCCAACATCTCGGTGATGTTGGCCTGAATGTTCTGGAAGGACAGCTTGTTGCTGCCCAGGAGGCTATAGAGGATGCCGGGATACTTGTTCTGAAAGTCTCGCTTCTGTCTCAAGTCCCAGTAGAAGTTCTTGGTGTACGTGTTGGCTGTAGGGTGGGACAAAGGACACCGGGGTATGAGGCCCTGCAGCAGCAAGGAGGGAGGCTGTGGCCGTCTCAGGGAGTGGAGGTGCTCTATAGGCTGCCGTTTTACCCAGCACTTAATCTGTACCAAACCCTTTGTATTGCATAATTTTTGACCACAACTTTGTGAGGTATGTGATACCACCTGTTTTCCAGAGAAAGGAACAAGGGCAGACAGACAGTCACTTGCCCAAGGTCACGCGGGTATAAGGGGCAAAGGGGACACTAACTTCACACCTCCCTGTCACCCTTCTTCACCTGACCTTCCCCAGTCTCAGCCACCCAAGGGTCCTGGCCCTCACCTTTATCGAAGATCACATCCCACGAAGCCGCATGGTCCCTCCAGGTCTTGGTCCTGAAGAGCCGGAAGAGATCCGGGGGCAGGTTGAGCATGGGCACACTGGTGTGAAACATCTGGTAGATGGCATTGATGAACCTCTGGGCCTCAGCGTCCACCACCTCCTCCAGCATCCCCATCCGTTCCCCAAATATGACGTTGGTGATGGCTGCAGGGATGGAGTCACTGACACTTAGCAGTCCCTTCCAGCCCTGGTGCCCCAGAGCCTCTGTACCCCTCGCCACCACACCCAGCACTCTCCACAAGCCCAGCTTCCTCTAGGGAAGAAAGAGCAAGGTCCTCTACAGGAAGCAGTAGGTTGCTCTTCTGGCCACCGCCCAGCACCCCTGAAGGGCACATAAGAGGCTGAGAGGAGGTGCTCCTTGGTGGGGAGAGAGCTCAGCTACTGCCCCACTCTGCCTACCCTGCCCGCAAGAGAGACTGCCCATTAAATACTAGTCCGGCAGCACCTAAGATGCCACAACAACCTCAAGTTTTTTCACCTACCAGGTGAGAAATTTGAATGCTGATTTTACAGCAAGCCCAGAGCACCCTAAATCTCCTGCAGTGACCAATGATCTCCATCAAGCCATATACAAATGCTGCTCGCCCTGCCCAAGCTGCCTGACCTCTTCACCTAGCCTGGATAACTGCTACACAGCCTTCAACACCCAGCTCCAATTAACCACCCAACCCTCCTCTCTGTTCCCAGACTTCAAAGGTCTGTTTCCCAGAGCAGGGAAACTTGCAGAATGAAGGACTAAGCCAGGCTCTGACTTTTGAGGGATGATGGCAAAGGGGACCCATGCTTTTTGGATCACTCCCCTCTCCCCAGGATTCATACCAGATTCGGGGGACACCACTACCCCATGGGTGGCTGGTGGTGGCAGATGTGTCCAGCAGCTCCTCCCAGAAGCCAGGCCTGCCATTTCAGCAGGGGCTGCGCTAGGTCTTGAGCTAAGAGGATGAACTCTGGCCCCGCCAACCCCCAGACCCACTGCCAGGTGGCACAAGACCCTTACACTCAAAGGCAAAGCGGAACAGGTCATCACTGATGTCCCCTGAGAACTCCCCAGAGTTCTGTTGCTGGATGCGCCTGTGTAGGAGGCTGATGAAGTCCTGGGACACCGGCTCCAGCAGGGGCACAAAGTTCCTTATGCACTCAGGGGCCATCACCTCCTGGTTCAGGACCACACGGTCTTTCTTCCAGGCTTCTGACTTCCTGGGAAAATACAGGCCCACGGTCGCAGATCCCGGCCTGGCCAGTGCCAGGGGGTTGACAGGGCTTTCCAGGGCTGAGCCCGAGCCCAAGAACCTGGTACCTGTGCTCTCTCCTGGGCCGAGGAGACAAGGGACAAAGAGATCAAGGACACAGCTCTGGCTGACTTCTATTCCCGCTGCTCTTGCTGCTGCGACCCTAAAACTCTTCCCTCCTCCTTCGTCCCAGCCCTTGCTCACCTTCACCACCAACGGCCCCTCCGAGATCACCTTTTTGCTCTCCTCCACGGACAAAATGGGCCTCTCTTCCTCTGCACTTCTCAAAGTGTCCCAGGATTCACTGTGGTAGGGGGACTTCAGAGACTCAGAACTGCTTAATCATGGCTCATGTTTTGTTTGTTTGTGTGTGTGTTTAGCAGTACTGAGGACTGAACTCAGGGCCTTCACCCTGAGCTACAGCTCCTGCCCCTTTTTTCATTTTTTATTTTATAACGGCATCTTTCTTGCTAAGTCACTAAGTTGCTCATGCGGGCTTCAAACTTGCAATCCTCCTGCCTCAGTCTCCCAGAGTGCTGGGACTACATGTGTGCACCATCACACCTGACTTGCTCCCAAAGGGTAACTTTAAAATATAAGTATTTCTCTCCACCACTCGATCAGCAGTGGTGAGCATTTCAGTGGCTCCCTGGCCTGGCTAACGCTCGACAGCATCGCCTTTTCCGTTTTCAATGACCAAGTGGGTAGGCAACAGTATCCAGCCTACATCCCTGCACTGGCTTCTCTGTTCCTCTCAGCCCCTTTAGATCATGTGGTACTTAAGGTGGCAGGGCCCAGCCTCATTTGTCACGGTACCTCGGACATGTGACCCCAGGCCTGCCACACATCTGGTGCTCAGTCAGATGGGACTGGCTGACTAAAGCAATAGCTGGGAGCCTTGCAAGAGTTTGAGTTATTCATGCAGAGCCTGACATTTTCCTGTCACCGTCATCACCTTCCTCCACCCTTTGGTGGCAGGAGGATGACAGGGACTTGACCCCCAGCCTCTCCCCTCCCCCACCATGGCCTCCAGCCCGGGGATCTGTGGGACTCACTTGAGCAGGACACCAAGGGGCCTCTGGTAGTGCTGGTGGTAAGCCACCCAGGGGGGGATGAGGTAGCGCTCCGGGTACGGACCCTCACACTTGAACAGCAGAGCCGCATCCTCAGGGTCCATAATATAAACTGACTCAACGTTGCCGAGCTTCTCCCTGGGAGATAGGAGAGGGGCTGTGGGCGGGGTCTGAGAGGGCCCCAACAGCTGCCCAGCGGGGCCACAGCGTTCTGGGTGTGGACCAAGCCCTCCAGCACTCCCAGTCTCCATACAACAGGGCGGATGGAGGTGCTAACACAGATGGAACCTTTGCCAAGCCTCCTGTGAGGGACAGCCTCATGATCGCTGCTGTCACCCCTGGCCTCCCGCAGGTGGTCCGGTCTCCCGTCCCATACTGCCCTTCCTGTGTCGCTGTCCGGGGACCCCAGCCTCTCAGCAGCCCACGGAGCTGGGGCGGTGGCACCATGTGTGTCACCCCACAGAGGGCACCCAGCAGTGACTTGCCAGCTGGGCAGGTGAGTGTCCCAGGCCAGCCCGTCCCTTCTAGGACTGTCACTGTGGGAGTGGTCACTCTCCCCAGGAGTCCCGCAGAGCGCTTCACGCCTGTTGAACTAAACCAGCAACAAAACATCAGACCCCCAGCATAGACACTGTGGGTGAGGGGCTCGAGAAGCAATTGACAGAGTCCTGACCTGCACAGGGTTGGCTGTGTGAAAGCAGGGCCACGCTGGCATCTCACAGCCCAGGAGAGAGGCCACACAGAGAGCAGCCCAAGCCAGCAGCCCCTGGCTTCCAGCTCCAGAACTGTAAGGCAGTGCACCTCTATGTAAGCAAAAGAGACAGCAGGAAGGAGGGCAGGAAAAGATCGGAGGGAAGGAAAGAAGGAAAGAGGATGCGAGGGAGGGGAGAGGAAGAAAGGAAAGGGAAGAAAAAGAAAAATCTACTTTTTACATCTGCTTTTTGCTAAGAAAAGTTAATTGATATATTTTAAGGCAAAATATTAAAAAGGGACCCGTGCAGGTCCAAGTGTGCCCTCCGTCTTTCTCCCCTCCCCCTCCCCCATTCTCCCCTCCCCACCTCAGTGCTGCTTTCATCATAGAGCCACAAGGTCTGGGCTCGCCTGCCCAAGCCTTGGCCTTGACTTGTTTATACCTTCTAGAAAATTCTGTGTTTCTCTATCCCCCAACCTGGGCTTCAAGGCCTTGGGTTGCTATCTGTGCCATCCCACTTCTGGGAACCTAGCCCAAGGCAAAAGGATCTGAGCTCAGCAATAGGCCTGCAATGAGAGAGCCACCCCAGCCTGAGTCTAAGAGAAAACATCCAGGCAGGCTCAGTTCTGTTTATGGCTGCCTTAAAATCCTGGTTTATCCATACTCTCAGCTGCTGCAGTACTCAGATATCACCCAAGTAAATATAAAGAATAGGAACATAAGGCAGGCATGGTGTTACATGCCAGTAATTCCAGCACTCTGAGAGGCTGAGGCAGGAAGGTCCCAAGTCTGAATCCAGCCTGGGCAATTTAGTGATTTAGCAAAACCCTCGCTCCAAATAAAATATAAAAAAGGGTGAGGATGTAGCTCAGTGTGAAGGCCCTGGGTTCAATTCCTAGTATTGAAAGAAAAACACACAAGGAAAAACAATGGAAACAGCCTTTGTAGTGTAGGGGAGAGCCTCGAAAGTTTTATTTTAAATTCCTCATGTGTGGTCAGGAGTTAATTCTCTCTAGCTGTAAATTATAGCCTAATCCTGGCACACAGACCTGGTTATTACATCATTCAGGTTCCAGCCCTGGATTGGCCCTGCTTTACACTAGATAACCCTGGCTAACTGTGGCTCACCCTAGCTTAACCCTGTCTAACCCTAATCATTCCCTATCATGAAATGAGCATCATAACCCCAGCCTCAAGGACAGGACAAAAACTCAGAGAAAAGCAGTTCAAAAAACAGACTGTTAAGGCTGGGTGTGGTGGTGCACGCCTGTAATCCCAGCACTTGGGAGGCTGAGGCAGGAGGATCATTGCGAGTTTGAGGCCAGCCTGGGCTATGAAGTGAGCTCAAGGCCAGCCTGAACTGCATAGCAAGACCCTGTCTCAAAAAGACAAAAAAAAAAAAAAAAAAAGAACCAGACGGTTAATCCAGGGAAGGCTCCTACTTGGAGTGGGAAATGGAGAAGGAGCAAAAGGGCAGGAAGCAGGGTAACTAGGGACACTGGGGACATAGGACCAGAGACACGGGAGGAGCCACCTCTCCTAACCCAGTTGTGGGGATTGGGACTCCCTTGCCCCCAAGCTACTGCAAAAGAAAAAAAGCAGTCTGGACATCAAAGGGCTATGGGAGAGAAAGAGCAGGACAGAACCCAGCACACACAGACACACACAGACACACACAGACGCACACAGACACACACACACACACCTTCCCCACCACCACCTGCTGAAACTCTTTGAGTGGCTAAAGACCCTGTCACTCACCCACTGGCCTTCCTAGCCATCCCCGCACCCCCAGCCACCACAGGCAGCACCTCCCCTCCCCAGACACTGCTCTCAGAAGTGGCTTCCTGGCTACTGACTTGGATGCTGCTAAGCTGAGAACAGGTTATCGCCTCGCAGCTGGCAGAAGCAAGGCAGATGCTTCCCAAAGCCAGGGGACAGCACAAGGCCACATGGGGTGAGGAGATGCAAGGCCACGTGGGGTGAGGAGACGAAGGGGGTCTAAAGGGTCCCAGGGAGCCTGAGCCTCAAGCTGAGCCTCTGACCAGGGGACCAACAAACTTCCCTCGTGAGTTATCCTGGGGATAATAGGCGGCTTGTTCTTCGGCACACACACCCCTTAACATACAGTTCTCCTGGGGAAGGCTGAGGTCTCTGGGCCGGGAGCAGGGAGGACCCATCCTTGTCCACGAGCGTTGGAAAGATGGGGGTGTGGAGCCCACAGCAGGCTGCGCAGCCCCATCCCATCTGCCTCCACCCTTCCCCAGGCTCACCTGTAGATGGGGCCGTACTTCTGGAAATTCTGGACGTGGCGATAGTGGATGTGGTGAGTGCCTTTCTCCCTCCAGAAATGGTACAGGTTTAGCCAACCATTGTCACCTGGGGAAGGGATCTCGTGGAAGGGGCGAGGACTGTGGGCAGAGGTGCCAGCCATGCCTCTAACAAACGTCTTGGGGTGATTTGCTAGGCCCTGCCTGCTGGTGCCCAGGAAGGCCTGGCAGACTTTGACCAGCACTGAATGCCAGGAAGACCCCTTAGCCAGCATGCTGTGCCCACTACTGCCAGCTCAGGCTCTGGGGAATAGACCCTGCCAGGGTGCAACCGGCCTGAGCTGTGGCCATGCTTATTATAACCACTGGCTCAAGGCTGAGGGGGAAGCAAGCCCTCACCACTCCTCCTCCTGAGCTCACCGCCCCTCCCAGATCTGGCCTGACGTCCAGCCTAGAATCTCTGCAACATAAGACAGGGAGGCCGCAGTTTCTGGCCCCAGGCCCAGCCCAAGCAGGTTCAGAGATACTTTGCTGTCTTGACATGTGCTGAGACCCCCTACTGTCCCTGGCAGAGGCATCCGGGCACTGGCAGACGTCCTTCAAGATGGGACAGCCCGGACTTGGGGGTCAGCAGGGGCCCAAGAGAAAGTCATAGCCACTTTGCCAACTATCTCTGACATCTTTTTTGTGGCCCTGCTATTTCCATATGTGTGATTATAAATTATTTGTTGCATAGCTCCCTGACTTTTAGAGTTCTACTTTTTTTCTGCTTGTCAGACAAAAACTATCCTATATTCTCTGAAAATGTGATGATTGGTGAGTACTGCTGTTATGATTATCATAATAATTATTATAATT